ATATTTATCCCAAAATTTAATGTCATAACAAAGGAGTAGAAAATCTAAGTGCCCATTGATATGGGTCTAGTTAAACTTTAGTAGGCTATACAATGGAATACTAGAAGTCATTTAATAGAATTAAGTAGAACAATGTGTGATGATGGAGAATGTCTTCAACATATATCACGATGTGAAGGAAGCCAGGTGTACAACAGGGCATACAGGACGCTATAATTTTTATGAAATAGTGAAAACTTACTTCTCTCTATCTAAGTGTAAGTATGAATGCTGCCTGCTCCTTCCTATAGTAAGAGGAGAATCCAGGGAAGGAGAAAGAATGATTTTCTACACATATCACTTTGTTCTATTTGACTTTTAGTCCACGTATATTTATTGTATTTATCATCAAAAAACAAATACCCTTTTTAAAGGGGTTGTTTTATGGCAGGTCTTTGATGTTTTACAAGCCAGAATAATACCAGTCTGTTCAGTTGAGTAAGGAATGGGTGCCAGCCTCTGTTACACATTAGGTGATTTTGGACCTTGCACAATATTCAATATAGGAGAAAGTTCATGCCCAGGACGAAGGGGTGGAGAAAGACACAGCAAGATCAGAGAGCAGATAAATGAATCCCCAGCAAAACCAACATTTCTCATCCCATTTCCACATAATTTTGTTTAGATCTGGGATTGTGAGAACAAGTCTATGAATTCAGTTTGGAAAGCGTGGAATAATGGGTGCCAGAAATAAAACTTTGGTTGGTCATTCATTCATTTATTCATTCAACAACCACTTGTGGATGCCACTTTGAGTGCTGGGATACTAAAAGAATAAATTTCAATTCTTGCCAACCTAGGCCTGAGAAAACTCATAGTCTAGTTGGGAGACGACATCTTGAAAAAATTTTTAGAGGATGTGTTCCAGGGCTGGGCTAGCCAGACCAGAGCTTCTGAGATCTGTATTGTCCTAGGAGATCTACTGGCATGTGTGGTATTCTGCTAGGAAAGTGTTCCATTTGGAGATCAAACCCAGCTTAGTAGCTATATGGGATCAGGAAAGGCTTCTTTCCTGAGGATGTCACATAGAAGGAGATGTAACATAGGAGTTAGGAGGGGGCAAGGAACGACATCTCTGAAGGTCCCGTGCCAGGGAAGAGCTTAGGCTGGCTGGGGACAGAGAGAAAGCCAGCAGGTCTGGAGTGCTTTAGGGTTGGGGAGAGACATGCAGGCTGGAGGAGTAGCTAGGGGCTTACATGTTTGCTTGCTATGTCTAGAGCAAGTGGAGAGGTGAGATAATCAGAATTATGTTTCAAGAGTTGCCTCTTTACAAAGATTGGTTTAAAAGGAAGCTCCTACCCTGTCTGTGGTGGAGAAAATGGATGGAGGAGATAGGGAGGGTGGATTTGGAGAGAATGGTTGGAAGTCCTTCAGAGGTGAGAAAGAGGGTAGACTTTCCCTTGGACTAAGCCAGTGGTAGTGGAGATGACCAAAGTGGATACTTAATACATAATTTTTAGGCAGAAGGAACCAACTTCTAGGCAGATGTGTGGGATGAGAGAGAAGGAAGGAGCACAGAAGACTCAGACATTCCTAGCTTGAGCAATGGGACAGGGATGTGGGTTCTTTTTACCAGATTTCAAAAGATTAGAAAAGAAGGGTTCCCTGACTGGCTCCATCTGTACAGCATGACCCTTGATCTCAGGGTCATGAGTTCCAGCCCCACATTGGACACAGAGTTTACGAAAACAAGTGAACAAACAGAAAAGAAGCTAGTTTGAAGGAGGAAGATCAACAGTTGAGTTTTGGATGGAGTGATTTGTAAGTGGAGATGTTCCCTCCTCTAGCACCATTCTGGTGAGACGGGTTCTCATCTTTCCAGTGTCTCAGATCCTCCTTCTGCCCTCCTTCTGCCCTCCTTTTGAAGAGAAAACTCTTCAAAACAAGTCATCTCACTTACTGATACCACATTCTCTTCACGCACACTCTCGTGAACCTACACTTATCAGGCTTTGTCCTCCACATTCCTCTGAAACTGTTCTTGTCAAGAGTACCAATAACTACCTGTCTGGTCTCAGCCTCTTGTCTCAGGGGTCACTCTTGCCAGCTCCCCAGTTTGGGGGGGACTTTGGTGTGATGGTCCATTATTAAAATCCCATCTTTGCTTCTTTCCTTCCTTTTCTCTTACTCCATTGTACTTACCTGGTGTGACACGCTGAATGGTGCCCCCCATCCCATTCATATGTTGAAGTCCTCACCCCCAGTACCTCAGAATGTGACCGGATTTGGAGACAGGGCCTTTAAAGAGGTAATTAAGTTACAGTGAGGTCATTAGGGTGAGCCCTAACCTGATAAATCTGGTGTCCTTATAAGAAGAAGAAATTGGAATGGAGAAGGCCACCTGGGTGGCTCAGTCAGTTAAGCGTCCGACTCATGATCTCATCTCAGAGCATGATCTCAGGGTTGTGAGATCAAGACCTGTGTTGGGCTCTGCCCTGGGCATGGAGCCTGCTTAAGATTCTCTCTCTCCCTCTTCCTCTGCCCTTTCCCTCACTTAAAAAAAATAAAAAGCATAAAGAAAAAGAAATTGGAATGGACACACAAAGGGAAGACCGTGTGAGGACACAGTGAAAAGGTAGCCATCTACAAGCCAAGGAGAGAGGCCTCAAAGGAAATCAGCCCTGTGGGTATCTTGATGTCAGCTTCCAGAACGGGGAGACAATAAATTTCTGTTGGTTGAGCCACAACAGACTGTGTGGCTTTGTTACGTCAGCCCTGGCAAATCCAGCAAACCCCATCATCCTCATTCCCACACTTTGCCCACTTTTGCCCTTTCTCCTAGGCAGCAGGGAGTAGCCAGACAAAAGAGCACCCCCTCATTGACTGGCCTTTCTTTAAATTCCTGACCACTTCATGATACCCTGAGAACCTCTCTGGTTTCCCTACTCCATCTACTCTGCTGGTCTCCTGCAATTCTACCAGCACTCACCCACTCTCAGTAGGTGGATGACCTCATTCCACTGAGAAGCAGTCAGAAGAGGATGCCCCCACGTCACTGTCAGCCAACCCAATAACCTAACCCCGAAAGCCATGGTCTCCATCTTCCTTCTGCGAGGTAGCAGAGCTTCCACACCCACGCCCCTGTGCCTCCTCGGTTCCTCTCACCTGCACATGAACTTTTCACAAATTTTAAGCTTTTTCCAGCAATTTCCCCCTCTTCTGCATTATCAGCTGTTGCCTGTCTCTTGGGCTATCCAGTCATCCTAGAGACATAATGCTATAGGTCTTTCCTCGGAGAAAGGAGAGACTACACGGTGTCCCTCTTGTGTGTCCTCATTTCGCTACTCTTTTGACAGAAAACTCTTCAAAACAAGTCATCTCGCTTACTGATACCACATTCTCTTCACGCACACTCTCGTGAACCTACTCTTATCGGGCTTTGTCCTCCACATTCCTCTGAAACTGTTCTTGTCAAGAGTACCAATAACGCCGTGTCTGGTCTCAGCCTCTTGTCTCAGGGGTCACTCTTGGCAGCTCCCTCTGCTGGAACTCCTCTCATCTTTCTGACCTCTGCTACAGGCACCGCCCCCCCCCCCCCCCCCCCCCCCCCGCGTGAGTCTCTGAAACTGCTGTTTCTGCACACCCTCTCTATGTGATCTTATTTATCCTCTGGGCTTTAAAAGCTATCTGCATGATAAAGCCTCCCATATTTATCTTTCCAGCCCTGACTCCTTGAATTCCAGATATTTATACCCAAGTAGCTACTTGATGTCTCCTCCTGGGGGGTCTAATAGGCATCTTAAACTTACCTCCAAAAGCAAATTTTTGTTTGGTGCCTTTTCCCCCAAACCAAATCTCCTTCAGCCCTGGTTTTCCCATCACTATAATTGGCAATGCTGCCCTTCTTTTGGTCAGTTACTCAGACCAGAATTCTTGGAGTCCTCTTCGACTCCTCTTTCTTGCAAACCCCGCATCCAACTCATCAGTAAATCCTGTTGCTTCTACTTTCAAAATGTATCCAGAATCCAACTGCTTGTTTTCTTTGCCACTTTTGTTACTACTTCCCTAGTCAAAGTCATCATAACTGGTCTCCGCCTTTCCACCTCTACTTTCCTACAATTATTCTCAACACAGACGCCAGATTGAGCCTTTCAAATATCATGCCTGATCAAGTCACCCAGTGACCTTGAATAGGTTAAAAATAAAATTCCCTGTCCAAAAAGTCCTTATCCCGTCCCACGGGGCTATTAGTGATCTGGCCCTCCGCTACCCTCTGATCGTTCCTGTTCTGCCTCCCTTAACCCTGCATTCCAGCTCCAATGGCCTTCTTGAGGCTCCTGGAACAGGCCAAGGGCCTTTCTTTCTTTCTCAGAGGTGTTTGTTTTTGTTTTTGTTTTTTTCCGCCTCAGCCATGACTTCTGTTATTCCTTCCATCTGGAAAACTTTTGCCCCAGGAAGTCCTGTGGCTTGATTTTTCACTATCCTTAGGTCTCTGCTGAATGTCACAGATGGTCCTAGTGTTAAGGAACCTTGAGAGAGGGCAGGAGTTGTCTGAGACTAGCCACTTGATTATTTATTGAACCACCGCTTGGAGTGCTTGCTGCATGCCAGACACTTCCAAGCACATCCCATGGATTCTAGAATTCCATCCCTAGCCTCACAGAGCAGGTAGTAATCGCTAACATTTATTGAGCACTTAGCATGTGCCAGGCGTTGTGCTAAACACATTGCAAATATGACCTCTCTTAATCCTCATCATACCCCATGAAGTAGGTACTGCTATGATCCCTGCTTTACATCTGAAGCACAGAGAGGTCAAGTAACTTGCCCCATACCACTCCAGTAGTGGGTAGTGGAGCTGGATTTGAACCCAGGCTTAACTACTGATGTCACTTGAGTTAAGGGGTAAAGGGTGAGGCCTGAGTGGAGCTTTTGAAGGGGGTGGAGCAGGCATTTGTCAAGGCCAAGAAGTAGAGGTAGAGATCTCCCAGCAGCAGACCTTGCTTGTAGGCAGGTGCAGAGGCAGGCAGTCAGCCTGGACACTTTCCAGGATCAGGTGTGGCTAAAATGTAAAGGGCAAGGCTGATAAAAGGAGCGCGCGGAGAAGTATGAAGTGATAGTGTCTGTTTTTCGGACACCTGCAGAGAAAGCTTAAGGCCGGCGGGGCTTTTCCCTGGAAATGCAGTCTGGTCCTTCTCTGCTCAGGAGGCTGGAGTGAGCGGCTGTAGTAGCAGAAATCTTTCAAGTTCTTTAAGTCTTTATTGGTCCGGCCGGCCACGGAACTTTGGAGGAGGGGGTGGGTGGGAAAGGAAGCCCATAAAGGGGAGGTGCAGTTTCAGAACCGGCCTAGCTCTCTCCTCTCTTGCTGACCGGCCTCTGGCGGGTCTCTCCTCCAACCTGGCCCGGCAGACCCCTCAGGGGACACCAATGGCCAACCACAGATTCAGTTCCGTGTCCGAGGAAGAACCCTGCTGCAACATTTCCAAGAAAACCCAGATCTGTCTCTGCGTCTTTTTTGGTCTGCTGATCGCGGTGATCATCGCGGTGCCGGTCGGAATCTTGATGCGGCGCCCTCCGCCCAAGCAGTGGAAGGGGGAGGGCACCACTGCCCATTTGTCCGAGATCCTCCTGGGACGGTGCTACACCTACACTCAAGTCGTGCGACCTGAGCTGGGGTAAGTCGGCGTCCGTGGCGCGCGGCTGGGCACGGCTGGGCACCGCGCGCGAAACAAAGCCTCTTCTACTCCCGGCCAGCAGAGAGCCCGCTGGCCAGGGCTGGCCTTGCGATTCCGTGCCGCTCGCCAGAGCGCTTGGCCTTGGCGCCGAGCGCGCGGACGGGGAGCGCGGGGCTGGCTGGTCCAGCGGGCTCAGCGGCCGAAGCCCCGGCGGAGATGCCCGCCTTCTGCGCAAGGTGCTCGGAGCCGGGCGGGTCCCGCGCAGCAGCCCGGCTCGGAGCTCCCTGCCCGGCTGCCGGCGCGAAGGTAACTAACTGGTAGGTGTGTGTGTGTGGATGGGGATCGCTGGCGTTTTCTACTTTGCATGGGATTTCTGTTCGCTGGCCCCACAGTGCCCGGGCGGTTACAGCTGACACCGGGTTGAGTGGCTTGCGGAGCCTGCAAGGGGTTGGGGGAGCATCAGAGGGGCCAGACCACTAAAGTGAGTTTTTTTCATGAATATAAAGCAGTACTTCTTGCGCGCCCAGGGATACAGGAGACCAGAGAGCTCAAAACAATAAGCAAAACCAAAACTAAAACAATAACTTAAAAAAAAAAAAGATTTTATTTACTCATTTGACAGAGGGAGACACAGCGAGAGAGGGAACACAAGCAGGGGGAGTGGGAGAGGGAGAAGCAGGCTTCCCGCCGAGCAGGGAGCCCGATGTGGGACTTGATCCCAGGACCCTGGGATCCTGACCTGAGCGGAAGGCAGACGCTTAACGACTGAGCCACCCAGGCGCCCCAAAGCAGTAACAACCTTTAAAGCTGAGATAAAATTTACACTGTAAGGTGCGTCAGCTGGATGGATCTGTACAGACCCTGAAAAGACCCTCCCACATCAGTCTGTGGAAACTTTTCAGCCGGTTCCTCATGCCTCCTGCCAGCTAGTTCCTAATCTCCCGCAAAGGGAACAGCTCGTTTTCTTGACTTCCATTCCCAGGGTTTGGTTTCACCCAGAGAACTCATTTTTGAAGTTGTTCATAGAGGGGAACCAGCCAGAAGTAAAAAGCCATCCCTCAGGCTGCCCAAGGCGAGCGCTGGGAGCCACGGTTTCTGCTGTAAATTTGAGATTTCGCAATTAATTCCGCTTGCAGAACCTCAGAAACTCGCGGAGCTGAGCAGTAAAACCGCGTCCCAACGCCAGACCCCGCCCGCCTCCCAGCGCGCTCTCAGCCCACCGATCCTAATGCAGATACCGGCGGTCTCGCTTGCCCATTTTTCAAGGCCAAAGATTGCCAGGATCCCTTAAGTGCTTTGTTTCCAAGTAATTAAATAGTTAATGAAGAAACCAGCAGTTGACGCGTTCCTTCAGGTTACACTTCAAGTATCAATAAAATCAAGCGCTATCCGATCTGACACAGTAATGATAATAGCGGTCTTTTTTTAAAATATATATATATTTTTATTATGTTATATGTTAATCACCATACATTACATCGTTAGTTTTTGAGGTAGTGTTCCATGATTCATTGTTTGTGTATAACACTCAGTGCTCCATGCAGAACGTGCCCTCCTTAATACCCATCACCAGGCTAACCCATCCCCCCACCCCTCTCCCCTCTAGAACCCTCAGTTTGTTTTTCAGAGTCCATCGTCTCTCATGGTTCATCTCCCCCTCCAATGTCCCCCCCTTCATTCTTCCCCTCCTGCTATCTTCTTCTTTTTTAAACGTATAATGTATTATTTGTTTCAGAGTTACAGATCTGTGATTCAACAGTCTTGCACAATTCACAGCACTCACCACAGCACATACCCTCCCCAATGTCCATCACCCAGCTGTCCCATCCCTCTCACCCCCCCCCCACTCCAGCAACCCTCAGTTTGTTTCCTGAGATTAAGAATTCCTCACATATCAGTGAGGTCATATGATACATGTCTGTCTCTGATTGACTTATTTCGCTCAGCATTATACCCTCCAGTTCCATCCACGTCGTTGCAAATGGCAAGATTTCATTTCTTTTGATGGCTGCATAATATTCCATTGTATATATATATACCACTTCTTCTTTATCCATTCATCTGTCGATGGACATCTCGTAATAGCGGTCTTTTAATTTTCATCTTAGTGTAACAGTTTTAAAATTTTTGTTGTTGTTCAATCATCTTTGGTAAATTCACACTATTGGTTAGATCATCACTGCTGAATGGCAAGCAAGATGCATCACAGAAGTCACATGACTTTCTAATGTTTGTCAGGGCACTTGCTCAGTATTAAACACACACACTCACACACAAATAGATATAGATATAGATATAGATCTCGCTCTCCAACATATACACATACGCATACATATGTATGCATATGTGTAATGTTCAAAAATAACAAAAGAGGATATCTGTTGTTAATATTTTTTGAACATCCTTCCAGATATCTTACAATATATGCACGCACACACATACACACTATATATATATATGTATATATATACATACATATATATATATATATGTTAGTAATTAATATGGTCTTACGTGCCAGGCACTTAAGAAATATCAAATCATTGAGTCCTTCAACAACTATATGAGTCACTTATTACCGCCATCCCCATTTTACATATGAACAAACTGAAGGAGAGAGTGTGAGTAAATTGCCCAAATTTTGGCTCCAGAAACTGAACTCAGCCACTACACTACGCCTATGCTGCTTATATGTGTTCTGTAAGTAGAGTGTCAATAAAATATACTGACCATGCGTGGGACTTTCTGAAAAGAAAGGGGATGCTCTTAATAATTATATGGAATCAATAGACTTTTACTAGAACATGCAGTCACTTTATCCTTGGGTGGTTTCACAGGAGCCACACTGCCTAGGTTTAAATCTTGGCTCTGTCACAGTGTAATTACTTACTTAAGAAAGAAATTACTTACTTTCTCTGTGCTGCAGTGCTCTTAGCTGTAAAATGGAATGATGGGGGCCCCTGGGTGGCTCAGTCGTTAAGCGTCTGCCTTCAGCTCAGGTCATGATCCCAGGGTCCTGGGATCGAGCCCCGCATGGGGCTCCCTGCTCAGCAGGAAGCCTGCTTCTCCCTCTCCTACTCTCCCCTGCTTGTGTCCCTCTCTCGCTGTGTCTCTCTCTGTCAAATGAATAAATAAAATCTTTAAAAAAAAAAAGTGGAATGATGGTACCCACCACATGTGGGAATTCTGAGGATCAGGAGGAATAATCTTGATGTGTACTGAGTGCTCTTAATGCTATTGTTTTCGGAATTTCAGTATCCCAGACATCTTAGACAATAATAAATACAGATCAAGGCCAACATCAAAATGGATACCTAGTATTAAATTTATTTAAATCACAATCCAGCAAATCAGTCCTCTGATGATAGAATTTATGTCATTTCTAATTTTTTTTTTTTTTTTTACTGCTCTTGTTTTTTAAATTAAACACATGACCTTGGAGATCTTTCAGTGTTAGTACATGTAGATTTACCACATTCTTTTTAACAGCTCATGGTATCCCACAGGGTAGAGGTAACTATTTGGACAGAAAATTAGTTACCAATTTTCAGTCCTGTTCATTCATTCAGCAGATACTTGCTGAGCATCTACTATGTTCTAAGCAGTGATCTACTACGGACAACACAGGAGTGGATGACAAACTTCCCACTCTCACGAACCTTTGATCTCGGTTGGGAGTCACATGCTTCAATGAATGTCTTTGTACATATTTTTTTGTGCACTTACAGGAGTGTTTTTGTAGGATAGTTGTCTGGTGGTGGAACTGCTGGATCAAAGGGAGGATCATGCATATTTTAAATTTTGATAAGAATTTCTAAATTCCCTCCAAAATAATAGTACCATTTTAGGCTCCCATTACCATCTATCACAGGACATGCTTTCCATTGCTCAACAGTATCAATTTTTTTTTTTTTTACTTATGAGAAAAATAGCACCTAATTCTTTTCTGATAATCAGAGGGTCTCAGCATGTTGTAAATATTTACTGGTCATTTATATTTTTATCTGTGGATTTTCTGTTCAGACCCTTGCTAATTTCCACTGAGTTGCTTATTTATTTCTTTTTAGGGGGGTTCTTTATATATTGTAGATCCTATATATGGTATTTTCTTCCTCTCTGTTCATTGTTCTTGGAACCCTTGTACTTTCTGTTGCCCCCCACTCCCGAGACTTTAACTTCAAGGTTATGACTCTTTGATCAATAATCTCTTTCTTTCTATGTTGTTGCAACAAACGTCTTTGTTGTTGCAATGAAACATGACATGCTGATGTTTTCTCTTTTAGTCATACCCTCTTAGCATTAGAAATCTTTTCCCTGGGGCACCTGGGTGGCTCAACTGGTTAAGCCTCCCACTGTTTGTTGGTTTTCTCTCAGGTCATGAGTTCAGGGTCCTAGGATGAGCCTCTTGAGTCAGACTCCGCACTCAGCAGGGAGTCTGCCTGAGTTTCTCTCTCTCCTTCTGCCTCCCTCCTTGCACCTGCTGCCCCCCACTCCCTGTGCACGTGCGCTCGTGCTCTCTCTCTCTCAAATAAATAAATAAAAATCTTTAAAAAAAAGAAAAATATTTTCTCTGATGAGTTTTGAAATCATTCCTGTGATCCTCTTCTCACATCCCTCCCTTGCTGGGGTCTCCTGCTTTGGCCTTTTGTATTGGGCCAAAGCATCCAGTTATGTCAATTATTCAACCTTATAGCTTCTCAGTATTTCTTTGTAGATCTTAGGACTTTATGTTCTTCATATATTCCTTTTCCTTCGTTTTCCTTTTCCAAAATCTCTTACCCCCATAGAAGTTACTTTTTGCCAGTCTTTGAGTATGGGTAGGCAGGCATTGAAACTTGTCCCTGCTTAGCAAGCTGGGACTTTCTGAAGTTTGACCAGGAGCATTAAATGCAGAGCACCCCCGAACAGATGACACCTGGTTCTGCTGTCTCAAGATCACATCCAGGAGCTGCATTCTGTCCTGAGATGGCCCTGGGCTCGTGGGACCTGAGAGACATGTG